TCCATTGATTGCTTGTGCTAAGGGCACAAAGATGATGTGAATAACGCTCTCACACTCAATGACCTTCTCATGTGTTCAATGGATGTAACTGTGTATGCAGAGAAGCATAATCCAAGAAAATATGTGGTAGGATTGAAAGAGAGATTCAGAAAGTAAGACAAGAGAGGCAATGTTTGCCTAGTGGGTAGAGCTGGACTTTCAGTCAAGAAGACCCGAGCTCAAATCCTGCCCTTGACACGCACTGGTCTTGGGACCTCTGAACAAGTCAATCTCTCAGTGTTCTAGGCCAGGCTAAGACTATAATCTGCAGAATAGGTGCCACCTTGCACTGGTGGAGAGAGTTTCTTCATTAGGGTAGCAATGAAATCATGAATCCAGTCTCTTTCCAGATCAAATGAGATAATATTTGTAAAGCACTTAGCACAGTGCCTGGCACACAACAGGTGTTTAATAAATGTTGCTGTCCCTCATCTATACCTTCTTTATCCTCATCGTGCTGTGCTGGGCCCCTCCTGCACTCTTCCCTCTTCCCCCTTTTCAGTTTCCTTTGGTGTATTGTCTTTTTCCACTAGATTGTAAGCTCCTTGAGAGCAGGGACCATCTTTCTTTTTCATATTTTTTATTCTCCGTGCTTAACTCAGTGTTAACTCATAGTAGGTACTCAATAAATGGTTATTGTATCCCATTGTATGTATGGGGAGTTATAGAAGCATTGCTGACCTGCCTGGTGGAACATTTCCGTGGCAAGTATTCCACTTACTGATGAAATCATAGGTCCAGAAGGAAGGGAAAAAAGTGTTATTTAGCCCTTAATACTATTGGGATATAGGTCTTTTTGGACTGTTTCTCCATAATATGATTTGTAATGGTGGGAACTAGCTAAGAATTCAGAATGAAATAGGATCTCCCCTTCCCCAATGGAATGCCAAAGTTGAGTGAATTGGGACCTGCCAAGACTTTTAGTTTCCTTTTCTGACGGCCTCTTGATTTTTGTATTCCCCATAGCATCTCTTAGGCACTCAATAAATATTTTCTGAATGAAGGAATGAGTGAATTTTGGCAACCAGAAGGGAACCCAAAGATTAAAAGAAATCCATTGGGATGAAAAAAATGTTATTTTAAGAAAGAAAAAGGGATACCTCTGGACATTTAGACCCTAAAGGTTAACTCCAGGATTCAGAAAAAAACTGGAAGAAAATCACAGTGGTAATCAATCTGCAAGTATCTCCAAGAAAATAGGGGACATTTGTAAGAAAAAAGAGAATTTCTGTTCTAGGAATGGAATCTCTGCTTAAGGTAGCAAGCTTTTGAAGCGGAAAGGAAGCCACATATGTAGTCAGTTTTGAATACTGCAGTCTTTTCACTCTGTCCTACATGAGACACCTTTCAATTAATTCATCAAAAATGACATCTAATGCTGGGGAGGTCAGAAGCCTTGTTAGCCCTGAATGATAAGGGTGGGACTGAGCAGTGCCAAGGGGTGGCAGGCAGCAAGATTAAAGCCAAGGTGAGGAGGAAGAAAAAAAGAGAAGAGAGAAAGAAAAAAAGAGCCAGAAGGTCAAAGAAGAAAGAAGGTGGGAGTGAGAAGGGAAAAGGAGAGAGAAAGAAAAAAATAAAGATAGGTAGATATGGTAGAGTGTGGCAGAGAGCAATCATTAGTGCTTCCTTCATCACAGCTGAATCAATGCCTTTAATAGGCTTATTATTGAACTAGACCACTGGTTCTCAAACTTTTTGTTCTTAAGCCCCTTTAATAATTTGAATATTTGAGGACTCCCTAAAAACTTTTGCTTATGTTGGCTATATCTATTAATATTCACCATGTTAGAAATCAAAACATCTTTGTATTATTACAAAAAAAGTTGTGACTCTGTGGACTCCCTGAAAAGGCCTTGGGGACCCTATGTGGGTCCATGGACCATGCTGACTGAGGACACAGGGAATAAGGAGGAAGATGGGGATGAATGGGTTCACGGAAGGGAAGCTTCAAGGCTATCTATTGGGATGGTATACCCAGAGCATGGGTATACAATAGTACTATTAGCATCAGTAAGGATGAATCCTGAACTTGTGGAGATTTAGGATGTTCGTGAATGATTTTATTCATGGCATATCTGTTCACTGAGCCCAGGATCTACATCTTATTTACCCTACCCAGAGCCCTACACTTTCCCTTATGCATACATAACATATACTTAATAATTGTTTATTGAATACTGAGTTGGAAGGATAGTCATCAAGGTTGAAATTCCCATATGTTGAAGCTTAAAGGGATCTCAGAGACCAGCTAGTCCAAACATTTAAGTTTACAGATGAAGAAAGTCAGGCTTAGTCAGAGAGGGGCAATGAAGCGCTTGAGATCCCATATTTGGTAAGTAACAAAGTCAGGATTTGAACCCAGGTCCATTGACATGTTCTATCCAGTGTTCTACTTCATCATGTGTTTAGTGGACCACAAACTGGCGAGGAGAAGAGCAGGTATAAATAGACCAAAGAAAATTATCTCAAGGCAAGTGTTTCGTAACCAGGAATGCTAACAGGGATGTATAACTGAGATTTTATAACAGGCAATGCTAGCACTTGTATATGTACATGTGTGTGAGTGTTTGCAAACATGGCATATGTGTAAATGTACAACAAAGCTTGTTTACAGCAACATGCCTCCCTATGAATGTTCACAAGAGACTTAATGAAAAAGAGAAGTTTTCCTCTGCATTTAAGCCAGCCAAATGCATTTAGCCAGGCTACCATGGTCCCAGTCAAGAACTATTGTATTCTGTTGTTGTTCAGTCATTTCAGTTGTGTTTGACTCTTCATGATCCTATTTGGAGTTTTTCGTGGGAAAGATACTGGAGTGGTTTGCCATTCCTTCTCCAGCTCATTTTTACAGTTTGGGAAACTGAGGCAAAAAGAGTTAAGTAACTTGCCCAAGGTCACATAGATAGTGTCTGATGCCACTTTTGAACTCAGGTGTTCCTGACCCAGTCTGCTATCCGCTATGCCAGCTAGCTGCTGCAACATATTATGAGTGTAGAACATTGTTTATATGTTCAGACTCATTATGTGTTGGTTTATTTACTGGACTGATTTTTTTCCCCTTTGAAACTATTTTTGTGTTTCAATGAGAGCCATGAGAAAGAGGATTGGGTATATTTTGAAATAAAAATGACATAAAACCAAAATATACTAATTTTAAAAAATAAGAGGAATGGGAAGGAATAGATCTCCCAAGGGCCTAAGATTCTATTGGTTTGGGATGCAGAAACTCTTTTCCTCAGGTCCTATCTCATCATAGGATGAGACTGATGTTCTCAGATAAAGAAACACAATATTTCTTTCTAAGCTGATTTCACACCTTCCTTCACGTGGTGTATATTATACAAGTGAACCCAGCTACTTATTTATCTCACTCTGTACTCTCCCACCTGTACACATTTGCATGGGCCATATCCATGCTGGTTATTCCTTTCAGACTGCATCTCCTCCACATCTCCACCTACTGAAATCCTACCCTGCCTTCAGTGCCAAGGTCAGGTGTTACTCCTTCCACGCTTCCTCTTGGCTAAAAAGTGATCTTTCTTTCACCACGATTCTGTAAAGCACTTTGTCTGGATCTCTCCTCAGCCCCATCCTACCTTTTAATGAAGATTGTGCATATAGCAAAAGCATTCCCTTATTATAAAAGACTGTAAGTTTCTTGGTGTCAAGCATTACTGCTTTTCATTTTTGTACCCCGCCTCTAAGCACAAAGCAATTGCTCAAAACATGTTGGTTGAAGTGATTTGTTGAGAGTGACATGAATATGAAACAATGGACAGTGTGAGTATCATACTCTCAAATGTAACTCACACATCTTTCCTTTCCATTAGCAAGGGAGAAGCTACAAACATACAAAGAGACATGGATTCTCAGGCATAATCATGCTATTAGGAAGGTCTGTTGAACTGTTTTTGAGGCATATGCTTTGTAAGGGGTTGTGTTTGTTGAGAAGTGTGTATTGTGTCACAATAAAACATATCAATTGATAAAATGACAAAAACCAAAGGGTTAAAATTAGATGGTCATCTTTTTGCACCTTGTACACAGGAAACTTATTTACTAAAATAAGTCACTCAATTTAATCAACTAGCACAGTTTGCATTTCATTCAAACAAAAATTACTCTTGACTAGTTATTGGAGGGCCTAGAAAAAAGTCCATACACTCCATTTTTCCTGGAATGAAGATGCCTTGTTTTTGCCATTGACCTTGCCTATGAAAAACTGACCACCAAGTCCAGGTGTCCTTAATGTTTTTAGTGTCATGGAGCCTTTGTGAAGTCTGGCAAAGTCTATGGATCCCTTCTTAGAAGAATGTTTTTAAACATATGAAATAAAATACATAGGATCGTAAAGGAAACTATATTGAAATAGTCATCAATTTTTATTTAAAACTACTGGTTCATGGACCCCAAGTTAAGAACCTTTGGCCCAGTGACTAAAAAGTCCACATGATCAGTCAACCAATCCATATCTATTGAACATCTACTACACGTCCAAAATCATTTCTGGAATACCAGAAAAGAAAAAGACATTCTCTTTGCACTAAAGAAATTTATGGTTAATCCTTAAGAAATTGAGCCCTAGGTTAATATTTAATTATTCTTCTACTACATGTTGGGTCTATTTGTCCAGAAGTAGTACCTCACAATGTATCTCCCAAGTAGACATCATAGCTTTATTCACAGCAAGGTTATCATGCTCTTTGGAGAACTCCCCTGCCATCTACTCCCTGCCCCTCAGTCCTCAGGGTTGTCTGGGTCTTTAAAAAAATGGCCAGGCTGAGAAATGACGTCAGTTAGATCTAAGGTCCCCATCTACTATTTCCCACTCTATAGAAAACCAACATTGATTTTTCCCTTAAGCCCAATGTGCATTTTCCTGGTATTACACTCTTTTCAATATTTTTCTTATATGGTATGGCAGAAGACAATATTTTTCTTTGTGCAAAGTTGACACCCACCTGATTTGAAGCCATGTCAGCATTGGTGTGGTTCCTCCTCCAAATACCCAGACCGTGAAGAAGACGATGAGCAGAGTGGTTGTGAACATCATTTGTTTGGGCTCAGATTCGGTGTTCCGAATAGCTAAGGCAAATGCTATTGCTCCCCGTAGACCTTCAAAGTGAAAAAAAACAGACAAGAGAACTCTATCAGTCCATTGCCACTTCTCTTTTTGGGGATGGCTTCCATGTTGAAATCTACAAGCTAAAACTTGTGCAATAAAACGACTAAGATTTCTGCCCACATAACATGCTTTGTGTCTGGATAGCTGAACTTTTTAATTTTTAAAAATGGCATTTAAAAGTACTACATCAGTGGGTACACCTCAGGTGGTCAGTCCTCTGAATATGCTTTCACACCAGAATTTAAATTGCTAAATGGAACACGCACCTTGCATTCAAACCACCATAGTGAATTATGTCCCCCACTGTTATTTTAAATAACTATCTTTTTAAGACTTTAAATTAAAGTGGCTTCTGGTACTATAACAAGAGGTAATAGTCATATAGTACTTTACTATGTGTAAAACAGAGCAGCTAGATGGGCACAGTGGATAGAGCACTGGCCTGGAGTCAGGAAGACTGTTATTCTTGAGTTTAAATCTGGCCTTGCTAGTCATGTGACCCTGGGCAAGTCACTTAACCCTCTTTGCCTCAGTTCCTTTTCTGTAAAATGGGGACACACTGGAGAAGGAAATGGAAAACCACTCCAATATCTTAACCCCAGTTGTCAATGACTGAACGCCAAAAATGTGCAAGGCACTGTGTTAAGTACTTTACAGTTATCATCTCATATGATGCATTAATGGAAATGAAGATTCATGCTCTGAGACCAGACCAGGCTTGTAGTTATAATAGTTTCTTTCCTTTCCCTTGTTTTCTCCAAGCAGAAAGGTGACTTTGGCTTTAAGTTCCATTATAATCTTCTATACTTTGTTTAAATATGTTGGAAATTACTTGATATTACTTAAAAATTACATGACCATTAATGATACTATTTGTCCAAGCATTTATTGTGCATGGGGTGAGATTGAGAGAGGAGAAGTTGGCCTGTGGGAAAAGAGATTTTCCTGGTCTTATTCTGGGGCAGAAGACTAAGGGATTGGAGAGAGGATTTTTGTGCTTCTGGTAATTTGCGAGAATATCCCGGAACACCAGACTGAGTTCCTTAGAACCTGGAGAAAGAAAACTTCTAAGAATATGAGCCAGAGGGCTAGGGATTGGTGTGATTGTCCCTGAGAATACCCGAGAGGCACTACTCATACCCTGAATCACAGACTTACAGTGCAGACAATATTTTCCTTGTACTTACTGCCTTCTCTCTGTATCAATTCATACAAATCTTCCACGCGTCTCTGAGTTTCTCATATTGGTCATGATATTTCCTTACATTCTTTTTTTTTTTCTTGGTTAGGCAATGGAGTTAAGTGACTTGCCCAGAGTCACACAGCTAGTAAGCTGTTATGTGTCTGAGGCCAGATTTGAACTCAGGTCCTCCTGCATCCAGGGCCAGTGCTCTATTCACTGAGCCACCTAGCTGCCCCTATTTCCTTACATTCTTGTGGTATAATTAGTTGTCAATCCTCCAGCCAATGGTCACCTACTTTTTTTCCTAACATTTTTTTTCTTTTCTTACCACAAAGATTTCTGCTGAAAATACTATTGTATATATGAAACAGTTCTATATGTTTGACCTTTTGGGGACTACATCCATTAATGAGATTGCTGAGTTTAAGAAGCTGAACAGTTTTGTGACTTTTCTAGAAAAATTATTGGACCAATTAACAGTATAGAAAATAATCCAGAGGGTTAGAAAAGTGATGTCCAATTTATTTAACTGGAAAAAACAAAGCTTCCAGAATTTGCTTCAACAGTCTATTTTTGTGCCTGTCTTTGCACAGCCCCTCAAAAAGGACTATTTCTGTTAGTTTATCATCTTTGTCATGTTTTTGTTTATTTGTTCATGTTGTTATGTTGTATCCGACTCTCCATGATCCCATTTGAGGGTTTTTTGGCACGATACTGGAGTGGTTTGCCATTTCCTTCTCCAGATCATTTTACAGATGAGGAAACTAAGGAATTAGGGTTAAATGACTAACCCAGGGGAACACAGCTAGTAAAATGTCTGAGGCTGGATTTGAACTAATGTCTTCCTGACTCCAGGCCTGAAGTTGCCCCCACCTTTGTCATATCCTCATCTATAAAGATTAGGAAACTTGAGATTCAGAGAAGTTATTTACAAATAAAAGTATACAGTGACAGAAAAATGAAGCAAATAAATATTAGTTATTTTTGAATGCCCTGATTTTAACATAAGGCACCTGAATTCCATGTGTATTAGAATTTGGTTAGTTCACTTGTAATATGTAGGGTAAATTATTCATCTCAAGAGTAAGCTGTGAAAGTTAGGCCTGTAAGTATCCATTTCTTTGTTATTTTGTTTGAAGTACTTTACAAATGTACATGCACCAAATAAAAATGAGAGATAACATAAGAGTTCTGGAATAAAAAGAATCAATATTTTTATGTCGCATTTAGAGAATACAAGAGGCTTATTTCTCTTTAGTGAGAATTATGTAAATGAAGAGAAAGATTCAGAGGGTTAAACAAGTGATACTTAATGTAATTTGCTGGGGGGAAAACTCCCAAAGGAAGGAGGACCATGACCCCTATTTACAAATTACCTCCAAGGAAAAATGAAAAAAGGAAATTATTCTGTCTTCTCAGCTGAAAGGAAAAGGAAATGGCTTGAAGATACGGAAGGCAAAATTTGGACTCATTATTAATCAAAAGTTCTTGTCTATCAGAGTTCACATGAGGGTATGAGAGGGCATGAGATCACAATGAGGGTATTCCATCACCAGAAATGAACATGGCTACTGACACAATAAGGAATACTAGATTACATCATCAATGCCTCAGAGTTCCATGGTACATTTCATCAAAGGGCCTTGCAAAATATTACTTATTCTTACAGTTCTCTCCGAGGAAAGCAAGTAGCATCATTAACAGATGGAGTCTTTGGGAGTATATTCCAGACATGATTGAGAGGCATGGAAATGGGAGAGGGACTGATATTTGAGGAATGGCAAAGAGCTTAGTTTAGCCAGCATGGAAGAGATTGTTTTCTTTCAATTGTTTGGTGCTTGTGATTTCATCAGCATAAAAAAACTCCTGACAAGGAAATTCCCTTTATCAATGCAGATTGACACCAATTCTGTAAGTTATAGTTTTAGAGTTGCCCCTAAGGAGATTAATATTTAATGTCTGGAAAAATCTATAGGATTTAGGTTATAAAAGGCTTTATGAGTCAAACAGAAGGGTTCGTGTTTTATACTGGAGGCAAATGGGAGCCATTGAAGTATCTTAGGGGAGTGAAATGTTTAGACCTGAGTCGTAGGGATATATCACTTCAGCGGCTTTGGAAGATGGATTGGAGGAGGAAGAAAAAGCCTTGACACACCGCTATGATCTGAGAAGAGGAGATCACAAGCTAGCCCTCCATCTGTCTTTCAGGGACTGCAGTTAATCTGGCAATCCTCCATAATAGCAATATTAGGAGATGTGGCAGTTAATATTTATATTTTGCTTTGGGATTCTGGGTGTTCAAGGGAAGGTAGAATAGAATAATGTTGCTACCCTTGAATGAAATGCACAGTTATTTGATGTTTAAGATGAGCTCATATTAGAGCTCTCAATGGATAGCACATATGTAAATGTTAATCTTCCTAAAACATCTTCAATAATGTATCATTATTATTATATTAATCTAACCTTAATAGTCCTCTTACATCTAAATTAGCTGTGCCTCGGCAGGCCATAATTTAAAGAACATGCTAAAAAGAATACTTGTTCTGATTTCTAACATCACATCTTTGCTCTCCCCTTTGCAGGTGATCCCCGAAAATATGAATTCTCCAAATACTGTACCATACCTATGAGAAGAGGAGTAATGTTCTTAATTAAAGCCCAAACTACAAGGTGTTAAAAATCCATTAGCATCTTCTGGAGGCTCATTACTGATGTAATTAGAAGAACAACAACAACAAAAAAAGACCAAAGAAATAGGGGAGCCTTGTAGAGAAATGGAGGTTGAGTTTCTACCCCTGCTTTTCTGCAGAATTGGCTGTGTGATTTGGTGCTGAAAACTGCGAATATTCAAAACTGACCTGTGAAACTGTGAATCTCCAGGGTTTGCTATAAAAGTTTGAGTTCATTTAGAACTCTGGAAAAGATGCAATACTATATCTTCCTGTCCTCGGCATCCTCCATGATGTCAAGGTTACTGACAAAACACTGGGAGCCTGAACAAATGAGAAATCCCTGCCCATCCGTGTACTTTCATCCAGTTCTGTTAACACTAGAATCCTGGACTGAAAGCCAGTTAAATAAGGCTCTTCACCAAAACCTAAGCAAGATTTGGAGCCAGGAGATTTTAGATTGCAGTAAGTAATTTAGGCCATCAAAAAGCAGTTAGAAAAGAGACAGTATAGTGCGACAGAGAGAGAGACCTGTTTTCAAGTCCTCAATACAACACTAACCAGCTATGTAACCTTAGGTAAATCATATCTTCTTTCAGCCTTCGTTTCTAGATGTGAGCTCCTTCTGAGCAGGGATTGTCTTTGGTCTCTCTCTGTATCCCCAATGGGGCAACTAGATGGTGCAGTGGATAGAGCATTGGGCTTGAAATCGGGAAGACTCACCTCCCTGAGCTCAAATCCCATCTCAGAAATTTACTAGGTGTATGACCCTGGGCAAGTCACTTAATCCTGTTTGCCTCAGTTTCTTCATCTGTAAGATGAGCTGGAGAAGGCGCCTGGACAGAGATAGTGGAAGACAGAAGGGCCTAGTGTGCTATGGTCGGTGGGGTCACAAAGAGTCGAACACAACTGAACAACCACAACAACATCCTCAGTGCTTGGGACAATGCCTGGCATGTGGTGGGTGCTTAATTGTTGAACTGATGACTGTAAAATGGTGATGATAGTAACAATTGCAAAATTTGCCTCACAGGGCTGTTACATGTTTTGCAAATTGCTATATAGAAATGGGAATTATTATTAAAAATTCTCAAGAAACACTGACTTGGTCTTTTGGAATTGGAAAGCACCTTCT